CATTATAACTGCTTGTTATATTAATTGCTGGTGATGTGGATATCAACAACAATGCTAATTGGTCTTTGAGAAATTGTCAGGGAGGGAATACTCCATGTTTCCTGAAAAGCAAAAAAGAAAGAACTGTTGTGATCAAGGGATGGGGAAACCCAGCCAGAAGGACGGGGTATAAGTAATAAATTAGTAGCAGTAGTAGTAGTAGAAGTAGTATTACAGTGGAACCTCTATTTGCGACCATAATCCAGTCCGGAGGTCAAAACGGGTTGCTGGGAGAGGCACTGTTGTTCGTAGGCACGGGTGGTGATTGCCCGCTTCTGCGTATGTGTGAACGGCGATCGCCGCTCCTGCGCATGCACAAACAACGGCAAACCAGCCAGTTACCGTACTTCCAAGTTTGCCGCAGTCGTGACTTGGAATGACTGTAGGAAGAGGCGGTGCTAAGTAGAGTTTCGACTGTATTATTATTATTATTATTATTATTATTATTATTATTATTAGATGTTGCTAGACTCCAACTCTCATCATTCCTGACCATTCACCATGTTGTGTCGGGCTGATGGGAGATGGAGTCCCACAAATTCTCCTTCCCTGCCTCAGCCGCTAGCTATTTCATTGTGACATGAGCTTCTGTAGGCAAAAGTCAGCTTTTCCCAGATATGTGACAGGAGAAGACAGCAGATAAAAGTCCAGTAGAGGCCAAGCCAAGTTAAGGAAATAAGAAATGAATCTTTGCACCAGGGGTGCCAACTTGAATAAAATATTGAGGAGGCCCAGGTAAGCCCTGCCCTACATAATTGATCACTCAAATATTTTACGGGGAGGCCAAGACCTCTCGACCCCAGGAGCTGGCGCCTATGTTCTGCACTCATGGGAAGCACTGGCTAGGAGTTTTTAGGCTATACGTTCCTGCACCTAGTGCAACCATTATCCTGGATTGTTGACATCCGTGTTGAACCTGGGACTTTTCCAATGAGGTGGGCCAATGGATGCATAACAATTAGTCCATAGTTGTTAACCACATATGAAGTCTATGGAATGACAGAATTGGAATATAGCGAGCCTTGTTTATCTCAAGTCATTTCAAGAATATCTTCTTTTGACCCCTCGGTTTCCAAGACAACGCATGCTTAATTTCTTTGCAGTCTTAAACCACTTTCTCTGTGGTCTTAAACCACGGCAATTGTCTTTGAAGAACTGGGCTCAAAGGGACCCATCAATAACTTGCTCCTGAAATGTGCCAAAGCTATAGAAACAGGATGGGTGAACAAAGCAAGGATATTTTGGGTGTCAACGTTCTACTTTTTCCATTCATGAGGCCTATCCACACATCAATATCCAAATATTGAATCTCCATGTGCCCAGGGCCAATTCCAGGTCTTCTTGGTCCCTTGTGCAAGATAGCCTCAGTAGATCTCCTTCCTGGGTGAGCCCACTTCCTTCTCCTTATATAGGAACATAGGAACTTGACTTGTACCATTGTCAGCATCGCCCTTGAGCCAGTGCCACTAACTGGACTCATCCACTTCAGCCCCGACTGGGATAGTCATGCTGGGTAGCACTTCCAGAGACCACCTTCTGCACAGGAACAGGTCAAAGTGCTGTGGACTCACAGCTTAGTGTTGTGAGCACCGGATTCACTCCCACAAGAAGACAGTCGTCGCACAGCAGAGTACAGCAGAGCATAAACGACTCGGAGAGCAGCTCTGTAGAATATCTTCTTTTATTCTATCTACAACTATAATATACAAACTATATACAGAGCTAAATGAGGTCTAAGCATAAATGAATGCTAAACTGCACTGAGTGCCTGCAGCTGCTCTTAGCAGCAACCTTATCTATACACACGATCTCTAACACTCAGTCTCTCTCTCTCCGACACACTGACTGACTGGCTTTTTGATGTTAGGCTGGAGCGGAATAAGTAGAGAGCCGAACACTGCCCCTCCTCTCTGGAAAATCACCAGACTCATCAGCAGATTCTTGGATATGGGAGGGGTGAAATCTCCTCAACCATTGCTTCATCTAGTTCTATTGCCCACACTGACTGGCAGATTTCCAGGGTTTCAGTTTGGGAAAATTCACAGCCCTAATTGGAGATGCCAATGGATTGAACTTGGGTCTTTCAGTATGCAAATGGATTCTCTACCATAGAGCTATGGTGCTTCCTGCCTTGCTGCTGCCACTTACTTCCATTGAGCCCATTTGGCACTGCCTCCCAGAGAGAGAAAGAAGAAGGCTTATGGAAGTTACAGCTGCTGCTTGTTCCTCACTGCTCACTTGCTCAGGGTGGGCAAGTGAATCAACAGCAAGGTGGAAGAGCTGGGCCTAGAGGCAATGGGGCTCCTTCTGGGGTGTAGGCCTTCATAATGGCCTGACCAGAATGACCTCTGATACTGGTTTGAGAAGGAAACATATCCACTGTTATGTACTGAGTTGAATAGGATCCAAAGTGCAGCAGTCTGATTGGTCCTAGAACAATAGGATCCAAAATGCAGCAGTCTGATTGGTCCTAGAACAATAGGATTCAGAATGCAGCAGTCTGATTGGTCCTAGAACAATGCAGCAGTATGATTGGTCTGCAGGAGCCACCCAATCCAGCTCCAGGTGGAAATCAATCCACAACCTGATTGGCCTACAGGAGAATCCCGGAACTAGCCAATCACGTACAGCCCATTGTGTAAATAATGTATATAAAGCAGATATTGTGGGGGAACTTCCATTCCTCCTCACCACTATGAGCTGAATAAAGAGTATGAAATCCACTCTCGACTCCGAGTATATTTCATCCACACATCTGTAAACTACTGGGTGGTGAACCTTTTCTTCTAGAGCAAGCCCCGTAAGAACTTAAGAAGAGTTCTGCTCAAACTTAGGCGAGTAACTGAGAATAAAGCAAAATGGGGTGATTTCAAGGTTGCATGGTTTCCACTCATTAGTTATATTAATAAATATCATAGTTCCCCTAGGCCAGCAAGCATCCCAAATGGCAACGTGGTGGGGCTACCTCCATTCATGAGAATAATGACAGTAGAACTCTTTTTATGTTTATTGACATTTTATTTTATTCAGCAGACATGTTGTTCTTTTCATACTTGTCTCTTTTGATTATGGTTACAGGTAGGTAGCCGTGTTGGTCTGCCGTAGTCGAAACAAAATAAAAAAAATTCCTTCCAGTAACACCTTAGAAACCAACTAAGTTTGTTATTGGTATGAGCTTTCGTGTGCTGAGAAGTGTGCATGCACACGAAAGCTCATACTAATAACAAACTTAGTTGGTCTCTAAGGTGTCACTGAAAGGTCTTTTGGTTATGGTTTTATATACAGTGGTACCTCAGATTACATATGCTTCAGGTTACAGACGCTTCAGCTTACTGACTCCGCTAACCCAGAAATAGTACCTCGGGTTAAGAACTTTGCTTCAGGATGAGAACAGAAATCGTGCTCCGGAGGTGTGGTGGCAGTGGGAGGCCCCATTAGCTAAAGTGGTGCTTTAGGTTAAGAACAGTTTCAGGTTAAGAACGGACCTCCAGAACGAATTAAGTACTTAACCCAAGGTACCACTATACTCATTTGTTCCATGGCATTCAGTGGAAGCTTCTAATGGACTTCCATAAAAATGCAATTCACTTTTCTTAAAAAGTGTGTGTGAGAGAGAGAAAGCTCTGCTGGATCAAGTCAAAGGCCCATCTACGCCAGCATCTTGTTCTTACAGTAGCCAACCAGAAGCCTTTGAGAAGCCCATAAGCAGGACCAGGGCCATCTTTACCCAGGGATGCAAGGGGTGCGGGGCACCTGGGTGTCAAATTCTGGGGGGTGCCAGGTACCCGCCGCTGAAGCCGCCTAAGCTCTTAACTATCTACCTGTTATGAAATAATAAATAATTTTGATCAAGCTAGAAAAACAAAATACATATATACCTAGTTATTACCGAAATGTATACCTACTGTTTCACTAAAGGACTTTCAACTTTGTGCACTCATTTACCAAAGACGCGCCACGCCAGCGGCAGCGCTTGTCATTCACAATGGTGGCACTTGTCAGACTCAACGATGGTGCTTGTCATTCTCAACGGAGCCGCGCATGAGAAATTAATGTTTTTGCCTTGCTGCAAGGGATCCTTGAACTCTTGCATGCCTGCATGGAGGATAAAGAAGGGTGTCTGAGAGTACTTAGAAGTTAGCCTACAGTACACAGGTATTGTTTGCATTTGATCCCCCCCCCTTTTGCCTCTGGCCCTGCCCACCCCTGGCATGTGGCCCTCAAAAGGTTGCCTGGGAGGAAATGTGGCCCTTAGGCTGGAATAGCTTCCCCCCTGCTGATTTAAAATTTCCCACAATGCAATGCCTGGAACTTGCCAGGGTGCATTGGTGCCAGGGCCTGACAGAGGGCATCTGGTGCCAATTCTGACCCTGAGAAGGGCATTCCATCCATCCACATCATCCTCGTAGCACACAGGCCACAGTAAATGGGTTTTTTGGGGGCTGGGGATACAGCTCTTTGTCAAGGGCACAAAAGACCCTAAGTATGTCTCTTATTTTCAGAAACATGTTTAGAGAGCAAAACAAGACAAAGAATGAAACAAACAAAGCACTTTTTTTAAAAAAAGCAACTTAAAAGACAAGAAGAAAAGGCCAGAGGTGAAGAAAACTGTGGATGTGTGGAAGGAAATATTGCAACTTAGCCTGTGACTGCTGGGTGAACTCTCTCAAGGCCAAAAAAAAATAAAAAAATGGTATTAGGTTGGCAAATGTTAATTTCCCAGGTTACAAGGGAAGAAGGCAGGGTCTGAAACCTCCTCAGGTGGAACAGGCATGGAAAAGCATTAAGTTTCCAAACTCCACCTCCACTTAGAGATCTCTTGCTGTTCTGTAGGCAGATATATATGCACACACATAGACCTGCAGACTGTACCTCCTCATCCATCCAGAATACACAGCACCCATCACTAAGCCAGAGAGTTGAAGCTACTGGTCTCAGCCTCTTCTGTCTTCGGGTCATCCATGATGTGGGAACTCCGCTCCGTGGCCTTCACTCGAGCTGTCCTTGCCGAATTCCTAGCTACGCTGCTCTTCATCTTCTTTGGGCTGGGGGCAGCACTCAACTGGCCTGTGTCCCCACCTAATGTTCTCCAGATCTCGCTGGCTTTTGGCTTGGCTATAGCGACCTTGGTCCAGGCTGTGGGTCATGTCAGCGGGGCCCATATTAACCCTGCTGTGACTGTCGCGTGCCTAGTAGGTTCCCAGGTCTCCTTCCTGAGGGCCATCTTCTACGTGGTGGCGCAGATCCTGGGAGCTGTGACAGGGGCAGCCCTCCTGCATCAAATCACACCACCCCACATTCGAGGAAGCTTGTCCATCAACAGGGTAAGGATTTCAGGACCTGCAAAAGTGGGAGGGATGGAGGATTAAAGCAGGGTGTGTCCATACTAGGATGTTCAAGAAACCCAGATTAGTCTCTTGCATTGCTCTTTTGCTAAAAAGAAATCATGGACCCCAGTTTCTCTCTATTCTCTGTTCCTGCCTTTCCTCCAAGGAGCTTGGGGCTACCTAGATCAGGCATAGGCAAACTCAGCCCTCCAGATGTTTGGGACTACAATTCCCATCATCCCTGACCACTGGTCCTGCTAGCTAGGGATGATGGGAGTTGTGGTCTCATAACATCTGGAGGGCCGAGTTTGCCTATGCCTGACGTAAATGGTTCTCCCCCTTTCCACATTAGCTCCACAACATCCTTGTGAAGTAACTTAGTCTGAAAGATGGTGACTGTCCTAAGGTCACCCAGTGTGCTTCATGGCTGGGATTTGAGCCCAAGTCTTGCGTATCCTAGACCTGTCCAACACCTTGCGTTACCAAACTGGCCCACTACTGACATCCTTCAGTACAATTCAGGATTGTGGAAGACAAATTGCAATGAGACTCCTGTTGTGATCTATAGCAGTGACAGCCAGACTTTGTTGTAGGCTGTTATAAGGGGGGGGGGATTGCAATTTAGTTTGATTATACACCTGTATAGGTTAGGCCAGTGCTTCCCAAACTTGGGTCTCCTGCTGTTTCTTGACTACAATTCCCATCATCCTTGACCACTGGCCTTACTAGCTAGGGATGATGGGAGTTGTAGTCAAAAAACCCAAGTTTGGGAAACACTGGGTTAGGCAATTGTTCTGGGTTTAAAAAGACTCAGATGGAACTATCAATTGTCAGTGCAAATTAAAAGAAGCTAGATTATCACAAACCACTTAAAACTAAAGGGCAAGAGGCACTTTTACCTGTTGTGTGTTGTTGCCAGTAAAACAAAAATAAAGAAAAAACTAGCTTTTCCAGTAGCCTTACTAACAGGGAAAGGGAGAAGAGCAGCAGCAAACTAAACAGGTGAGAAAGAGCAAAGGAAGGAGTTTGGAAGCTGAAAGGTGGTGGACTATTGAGGCATGGGATGAGGTTGGAGACTCACAGTCTGAGGAAAGGAATTGACCTTGTTGCACCCTTGACTCGGCATATGATGGGTTTGAATCAGTTTGTTTTGGCTCACACAAAGGGCTTCTCAAGGCTAGTGTTTATTTTGGGTGTGTTCTGCAACATGTTCTTGACACAATAATAGTGTGTGGATTTATTCTGCTTTGTTAGTTCATCTGTGATGCTTCCCAGCATAACCGCATTACAGTGGTACCTCGGGTTACATACGCTTCAGGTTACAGACACTTCAGGTTACAGACTCCGCTAACCCAGAAATAGTACCTTGGGTTAAGTACTTTGCTTCAGGATGAGAACAGAAATCACACGGCGGCAGTGCAGCAGCCCCATTAGCTAAAGTGGTGCTTCAGGTTAAGAACAGTTTCAGGTTAAGAACGGACCTCCGGAACAAATTAAGTACGTAACCAGAGGTACCACTGTATTGCTGCCCAGAGGACTGATAGCACAGTAACAGTGTGCGGGGTGGGGGACCAGAGGGTTTGCGTGATAAAAAGATAGGGGATTTCAATGGGAAGTTACAGTATATGCACTGATTAGAAATGAAGCAGTGTGAACACCCCAAAACATTTGCAGGTACAAACAATATTGAAAGGGTGGCTGTGTTTGACTTCTCCAATAGCATCACAAGCACAAATAATGATGAATGTGCAATAAAAAGGTTGTCTAGAGGGGCCCGAAGCTGGGTGTTCCCAGGCTTTGGAGAGAGAAAATTTCTATTTAATCTGAACTAATTTGATTTAACAGTACGTACAATTCAAATGTTTTTGAAAAGTTTAACAATCCAATTATCGACTTATCCTTGTTATATTTTGCAGAGTACTAACCTAGGGGCCATCTCAGTGTTGCATGTCATGTGCAAATTGCTCACAGTGTGAAAACGTCTTCTTTTGAAAAACGTCCAAAACTTTAGAGTTGCCTAGCACAAACCCCCTCCCTGCATCTCCTTGTCTGAAAATCGCAGGTTCCATCCATTCTGCCAGCAAATTCCATGCTACTACCAAAAATGATTTTGTGGTGCATTTGTTGACTTCCACTTTGTCAACAAATTGCCTGAGATTTCAGGCTATGAGGTGAGACCACTCTGAGGCCAAGCATGGTGTTTATTTGAGCCCGTAAGCAGACCTTTTGAGCTAAATGTTGTTCTCTGTTCACAGCCCTAATCATTATTAACATACAGTGGTACCTCGGGTTAAGTACTTAATTCGTTCCGGAGGTTCGTTCTTAACCTGAAACTGTTCTTAACCTGAAGCACCACTTTAGCTAATGGGGCCTCCTGCTGCCGCCGCGCCGCCAGAGCCCAATTTCTGTTCTCATCCTGAAGCAAAGTTCTTAACCCGAGGTATTATTTCTGGGTTAATGGAGTCTGTAACCTGAAGTGTATGTAACCTGAAGCGTATGTAGCCCGAGGTACCACGGTATAATTATAATTATGTAAGCGTCCTGATTCTATTTTATGACTGGGTTGAGTAAAATCAATACAGTGGTACCTCGAGTTACATACGCGTCAGGTTACATACACTTCAGGTTACAGACTCCGCTAACCCAGAAATAATACCTCGGGTTAGGAACTTTGCTTCAGGATGAGAACAGAAATCGTGCTCCGGCAGCGCAGCAGCAGCAAGAGGTCCCATTAGTTAAAGTGGTGCTTCAGGTTAAGAACAGTTTCAGGTTAAGAACGGACCTCCGGAACGAATTAAGTACTTAACCCGAGGTACCACTGTATTCAGTTATGTTCTAGAGCTGCTAAATGCACATCCATCCAGATGTCATAATGAGCATTCTTCGAGAATGATTATGACTCTCAGTGTTATAGTTTTTTGGCATTAATCAGGAGAGAGCTCATGATACTACTTATTAAAGTTTACTTCAGAGGTCAGCAACCTTTTTCAGCCAGGCTGGACTATATTTCAGGAGAAAAAATGAACGAATTCCTATGCCCCACAAATAACCCAGAGATGCATTTTAAATAAAAGGATACATTCTACTCATGTAAAAACATGCTGATTCCCGGACCTTCCGCGGGCCGTATTTAGAAGGTGATTTGGCCAGATCCTGGCCCCGGGCCTTAGGTTGCCTGCCCCTGGTTTACGTCTTTGTTCTGCTAGAACAAATAGCATGTTTTTGTTGACAGTTCCCTTTTGGTCAAACTGTACTTTGTAGAGCTTTAGTACAAAGGTAGAAGATATATGGAATGGCACAGGAAGAGCCAATGTGGTACTCTCCAAACATTTGGGATTACAACTCCCATCAACCCTAGCCAGCACAGTCAATGATCAGGAATGATGGGAGTTGTAGTCCACCAATATCTGGAGGGCTCCACATTGGCTACTCCGAGAGGGGGGTGGAGAGGAAACATGAATTCTCCACGAAACAAATTAGGGGAGGGGGAAGCTGAGGTAGTGCCAATAAGGATAACTGCTCCGGACATAATAGTATTAGGTATAATAAATCTAGTACCCACCATTATCTCATTGGGAATCATATTAATTAACTAGCTAGGTTTGAAAGGCATGAAACTTTGGAAATTCTTCCAGAAGTTGTCAAGTTGCCATCAAGCCATATGTGCTGGAACATTCACAGGATTACCACAACAGAATGCTCTTGGATGATGCAATGCTCTGGGATCCTTTCCCTTCTCTCCATGGACTCAGTTCTGATTCTTATCACTCAGTTTACTTCCCTAATGAGCTACTGACTGAGACACATCAGGCATCACTGCTGGACAAGGAGGAGAACAATTTCTTCGACAGCATGAATTGCCATACATCTTCTGGAGGGCTGTTGTGTGTTTTCCATGATTCCCAGAGTGTGCTACAAAAATGCAAATGTTGTTATCGGAGCATCAGATTCTGCACTTCAACATTAATGTACAATGTGGTGCAGTGGTTAAGAGTGGTAGTCTTGTAATCTGGTGAACTGGATTCGCTTCCCCGCTCCTCCACATGCAGCTGCTGGGTGACCTTGGGCTAGTCACACTTCTCTGAAGTCTCTCAGCCTCACTCACCTCACAGGGTGTCTGTTGTGAGGGACGAAAGGAAGGAGGTTGTGAGCCACTTTGAGACTCCTACGGGTAGTGATAAAGCGGGATATCAAATCCAAACTCTTCTTCTTCTTCATTACAGTGGTACCTCAGGTTACAGACACTTCAGACTCCACTAACCCATAATAGTGTCTCGGGTTAAGAACTTTGCTTCAGGGTGAGAACAGAAATTGCGCGGCAGCAGCGGGAGGCCCCATTAGCAAAAGTGGTACCTCAGGTTAAGAACAGTTTCAGGTTAAGAATGGACCTCCAGAACGAATTAAGTTCTTAACCCGAGATACCACTGTATTTCTAAGTAAAGCAAGACTCTATGCTTCAAAGAGGGACGTGGGTGGCGCTGTGGGTAAAAGCCTTAGCGCCTAGGGCTTGCCGATCGAAAGGTCGGCGGTTCGAATCCCCGCGGCGGGGTACTCTCCTGTTGCTCGGTCCCAGCGCCTGCCAACCTAGCAGTTCGAAAGCACCCCCGGGTGCAAGTAGATAAATAGGGACCGCTTACTACCAGGAAGGTAAACGGCGTTTCCGTGTGCTGCGCTGGCTCGCCAGATGCAGCTTGTCACGCTGGCCACGTGACCCGGAAGTGTCTCCGGACAGCGCTGGCCCCCGGCCTCTTGAGTGAGATGGGCGCACAACCCTAGAGTCTGTCAAGACTGGCCCGTACGGGCAGGGGTACCTTTACCTTTACCTTTATGCTTCAAAGAGAAGCTTGGAAGATGACTGAGAGATCTCATATGTTTGGGATAGGGAGCTCTTCCTCACCCCATCCCACTTCCTTTCCAGCAGGATAATAAATTGCACAAATGGTGTAGTTTTAGAGTGACCTCAGTGTGGAATGCTAGCTTGCAGGAGTGCTCCTGTGAGCCACACCCAGAACAATCATGTGGAAAGAACTTGAACCACCCCTAGACACAATTTGCGATCTACCAAGATGAATGCAGTCAACCAGTCATGTATGGTGGTGCACCGGAGCCTCAATAAATATCCTGTTTTTGCTCCTCGATTTGGGTTGCCCAAGAACAGAGAGGTTGTCTACTACAGCATCTCTTCAGAACAACACAGTTAGGCAGGTCTAAGCTTTAGCTGTGCCTTTTTCAAGCTAGGCATAAGCATATCAGGAATCTGTGCAGTCATGTATTCAAAATTTCAGTAGTGAAGCATGTTTATATTTATTGTGTCCAGCAGGGCAAGTGCGTCACAGATGAGAATCTTTGCTGTTGCCAGAATGCCAGTGGCATTGCAAATCATTCTCTTCCCCACCTGCCCACAACTTACATAAGATTAAGGCAAATCAAAATGCCATTGTAGTTGCAAAAGAGGCAAATAATAGAGATGTTATCTTTGTGTTCATTCAAGGTTGTCAACAGATAACTATTGCAGGGACCTTGTGCCAAAGTAGAAACAAAGGTTCACCCAAGTACACGTGTGTGTGTGTGTGTGTGTGTGTGTGTGTGCACGCACGCACACAAACACATATTTATCACTATTTGCTAAAAATATATATCACATAATCAGTTGCATTGGTCAAACTCATAACTGCCCTTAACTCTGTGACACAGTCACATAGCCAAATGCTAGTAGTTATGCCATCTTCTACTTCAGTGTGTAATACAATGGCAAGAATCTTCAAGGAAGTGCTTAATTTTCTTCTGTTTTTTTCAGGTACACAATAATACAACATCAGGTCAGGCGGTCACCATGGAACTGTTCCTCACCTTCCAGTTGGTCCTGTGCATTTTTGCCTCAACTGATGACCGCAGGAGTGATAACCTGGGATCCCCAGCCTTGTCCATTGGTTTCTCTGTTGTCCTGGGTCACCTGCTTGGAGTGCGTATCTCAAGAGCATTTATTGACAACTGTTGAGTATGCATGGATGAAAATACTGACAGCAGGGCATGTGTTTAAGAGGGTGCAATATACCCATCTTAGCTTCCCAGGGCTGGGAGATCAGGAGGAAAGGTTGGTGTTGTGATTGCGCCAAATATGCAGTTTCAATTTTTCATTCGAATCCACCTGTTTTGGTTGGGTGGAAATTTCTCCTGACACCCACTTCAAATGTTCAAATATACATCTCTTTAAAAATAAATCCTCTTCAACACTGCTGTTTCCTCTGGGCTGCTGAAACTTCAGTGCCATTCTCTACCCTTTGCTGCTTCCACCTCCTTGGATTAATCGCATTGCACATCCCAACCAATCAGAGATCACATCTTGAACAAGATGACATCATCTTTATATGTATATATAATTTTTATTAAATTTTCTAATTTACATTTCAAAATAGTCATATAAACAACCTTAAATCAAGGACTTCCCTTCTTCTCTATCCATGGTTCATTTTGCATACCACACATCCCTGCATATGTTACATGAACTAAACCATTCAGTAATCCATCGTTACATCCGTCAAAACTTATTTACACTGTTGAATTTATCTTAACACTACCAGCATCTTTAATTAAACAAAATTTTCACCCATATATTCAGTAAACACCATCAACTGGTACCTAGTCAGACTTGGCTAGAAGACATGGGGGCAAGTTAAATGAATGTGTGAATATTTTCACAAGGACACACAAACACATTTACAATGTTGAATTTATCTTAATGCTACAAGCATTTTTAATTAAACAAAATTTTCATTATATTCATATATATTTCAATATATTCAGTAAACACCATCAACTGGTACCTAGTCAGACTTGGCTAGAAGACGTGGGGGCGAGTTAAATGAATGTGCGAACATTTTCACAAGGACACACAAACACATTTCCCAAAAGGTAGGATGCAAGGCATTATTATATTTATTTTTAGTGCACTCCAAAATATGTTCATATGAAATGGTGTTGACTCAGCCCTGGCTTAGCAGGTAATCATTTTCATTTTCATCAGTTTCTTCAGAAGTAAATAACTGGGGTGAGTTTTAGGTAATGAGTACCATTAGCTGAAGCACTTCTCAAGGACTTCTGCTTGCTCAATGGGACTTCCCCCCACTCTCCTCTTCCTACATCCCCCAAACTGACAAGGGGGTCAGGAGAACCTCCGGAATGGGGGAGGTGAGAGAGGGGATTACTCCAATGGCAAGCCCAAAATCTTGCCCTGATTGAATGATTGCTTTAGTGTAAGGTTGAATTTATTCCCAAAATTATTCTTGTTTTACGGATAGAAAAATGAGCCACAGAGAAATGGAAAAGGCTAGTGGATCAAAGTTTCCTAAACAAAATGTCACAATAGCATAGTTGTTGGCCTAATGTTAGCATTAAGATAGAAAAGGAGTAAGTTGAGCATTTCTTAGTGAAACAACTTTCCAGTGAAAAATCTGGTAATAATCATAGCAGGCAGCTTCTACTCAGAAGACTGGATTTTGAGGTCCTCAAAGACACAGACTTCCACCACAGGGCCAACTAGCATACAGTGTCTGGGGAAGCAATAAAATATTCCCTGCTTCTTTGAGTATATCTTAATCTATGAATGGCTCCCAGCTCTCTGTCTTGATTGGCTAGAACTGGGAAGCAGGGGTGGCAAGATCCTGTAAATTCTACAAGCAAGGACTCTCTTGCCCTCTTAAATAGTTCCCCCCCCCCATCTTTGCCCCTCTGCCTTTGGGCTGCTTCCTCAGATATTTGCTACTAACTCATGACAGCTTGACTGCAATAAGGGTTTTTCCATGTGCTATGTGACTCTCATGTGAGCTAGTGACTATTAACAGGCCTGCTGTCACTCATTCACAGTGAGATTGTGTACATGTTTGCTCAGAAGGAAGTCCCATTGTGTTTAATGGGGCTTAAAGGTAAAGGTAAAGGGACCCCTGACAATTAAGGGACACCTGACAATTAAGTCCAGTCGCGAACGACTCTGGGGTTGCAGCGCTCATCTCGCTTTACTGGCCAAGAGAGCCGACGTTTGTTCACAGACAGTTTTTCCAGGTCATGTGGCCAGCATGACTAAGCTGCTTCTGGCAAAACCAGAGCAGTGCACGGAAACTCCATTTACCTTCCCGCCGGAGCAGTACCTATTTATCTAGTTGCACTTTGACGTGCTTTCGAACTGCTAGGTTGGCAGGAGCAGGGACCAAACAACGGGAGCTCACCCTGTCGCAGGGATTCGTATCGCCGACCTTTCGATCGGCAAGCCCAAGTGGCACAGTGGTTTAACCCACAGCGCCACCCGCATTCCTTGAATGGGGCTTAATCCCAGGTAAAAGTGCACAAAATTGCAATTTAAGAATGCTCTATCCAGCTCCTAAGCCTTGGGGTGAGTCAAATACAACCCATAGGCCACATCTTAGCCACTCCTTAGCACCAGAGGTATTGAAACACTGCACTACATAAGGCATCGGATTGTTGTTCTCTCTGAAGAGCTAGAGATAGTTCAAGAATTCTTCTGAAAGCCATGACCAAGCTCCTTAATCCACAGGAGTACATGCTCTGCCATTAGCAACAATCTCTTATGACAGCTACAGCCACGCTTGACTCCACTTGCATTCTTTAAAGCCACGAGGCCAAACTTCACATGTAATGAAGATCTATTAGTGGATTTATCAACTTTTTAAAAAATGAATCAATCTTGGTCTAAGGCTGCACACCCTACAGAATTTAACAGGACTTACTTCTGAGTATATATGTGGTTAGGATTGCACTATAAATCTCCCCTACCCCACTGGCTGTTTTCTCTTGGGGGGGGGAAACAAGGCCTCAGGATTGGCCTTGGATCTCTGGGTTTAGTAGTAGTAGTAGTAGTAGTAGTAGTATTTGTATTCTGTTTCTAAGTCACGTTGTGGTCTCTCAGCTTCAGCCTGTGTTTCAGATTCTAAACCACTCTGTATAAGGTGTAGCTCTTTATTCCCCATTCATTAGGATGGAGAATATTAAAATGGATAGAACTTTTCCACCTTTTGGCCAAAGTGGATGAAATTTACAGGCATGGGAGCTCCTCCAAAGTGGATTAAGATTGACAAATCGCAGAAAACTAAATCCAGAGGGTTTTATGGGGGAAGTAGTTCGAAAGCACGTCAAAGTGCAAGTAGATAAATAGGTACCACTCCAGCGGGAAGGTAAATGGTGTTTCTGTGCGCTGCTCTGGTTGCTAGAAGCGGCTTAGCCATGCTGGCCACATGACCCGGAAGCTGTACGCTGGCTCCCTCGGCCAATAAAGAGTTGGTCACGACTGGACCTAATGGTCAGGGGTCCCTTTACCTAGAAGATTTTTACTTTCCTCCATAACTCACATTAGTTTCATATTTTGCATGGAGTGTGGAGGAAGAGGGCTTTGTCTCTTGCTTTCTTACCTTAACACAGGCATAAGCAAACTCCGGGCCTCCAGATGTTTGGGACTACAATTCCCATCATTCCTGACCACTGGTCCTGTTAGCTAGGGATGATGGGAATTGTAGTCCCAAACCTTTGGAGGACTGGAGTTTACCTATGCCTGCCTTAAAAGAATTAAGAGGCAAAGTGGTGTGCATTCTTGCCTGTATATTTCTAAAAACTTCACAGCTTCACAGCTTCACACCTTACTTTCCACTATCAGGTAGATCTTCCAACATGAGGTTGTCTAGAACCAGTGTAGGTTGGCCAATTAGGGCAAATGGAGTGTTGCGCATGAGCCTCTGTCTGCCTTCAGCCATCCCCCCTCTGTCTGCTTTCTAATTTATATTCAGTACAGGGGATGGTGCCTGCTGTGAGCTTCCTCTTCCTAATCCTCAGTGTTGCCATGATGGAACTCAGTAATGAGGAGGATGGGTGCAAAGTTAAATTTAATTGGTTCTGCCTGCCATGGTCTTTTTGTCTCCTACCCTACCAGTCCCAATGATCACTAGTCACCATGGTCTAGAATATGGCCTGTGGGGCTCTGAAAACTTCTGGCTTGTTGTTCCTTAATGAAGAGCAACATAGAAAGTTGTTGTTGTTGTTTTTTAAAAAAAGAAGCAAACTTTTAGTTTTTTAAAAATTATCTGCTGCTGTGCATTAACAAAATAATTAACAACAACAACAACACAGACATCTTCAGAAACTCCACGGGAATATTCTGGGCAGCCTTACTTCTTGCAGAGAAAGTAAGACCTAGAGAAAATAAGACAGGGTGAAAAACCTCACATCACCCCGATTTCCTTCTTTGTTGGGACTCCACATAGAATTGATGCACACCCTTAAAAAAAAAGATGCTAAAGCTGATGGTAGATTCCCTCCATGCATTAAAGGAGAATGTCAGAAGAGCTAACCACAGATATTTATCATATTTACACCATGCCCTTCCTCCAGCATGCACAGTTCTTTCTGTCTCAACCCCTTTCATCCTCACATTGATCCTGTGAAGTGCATTAGGCTGGGGGACAGTCACTGACCCAAGGTCGCCCAGTGGACTTCATGGGTGAGTGCAGATTTGAACCTGCATCTGCCCACTCTAACCACTACACCACCACCCCTTTCGCCATGTGTTGTTTGACCTTCCAAAGTGTGATTGCGAAAGTATCCTTGAACAACTAATAATAGAAAATCCAAGCTTTCATCCAAGTGTCATGTTTTTTTAATTATTATTTCATAAAATGTATACACCACTTGATTATAAAAAAAAAGACCTCAAAGTGGTTTACCAAAAGATAAAACAATAAAATCAAGGGGGGTGGATGGGACACATGACTCAAGCATACTTTATTTGGTGAAGCTCTTTCAGAAAATGTTTCCCTTATCAGGTGACCTTTAAAAGTCACACACTAAAGAGTTGCACAGATTCTCCGGGAAAGACCCATAGAAACAGTCCCGTATACTCACAGCATTGAGGAAGCACTGTGAGATGAATAAGCATTTTCCGCAGTCCTTCTGTACCATTTACAGCCCACATGGTTCTGTAGTAGGAAGCATTTGGTGAAACAGAAATAATGTGCTTATCTGAGGCCCTCAGGCATGCCCTAGGCCCTGTTCTCCTGCCTGATGGCTGCCATCAGATTCCCAAGAACCATGGGAAAGGGCTGATGACCTGATGATACTTGGGGGTCTTGGGAAACTGATAAAATATAATGCCCCTTGATGTTTCCACAAGAACCGTCTCAATATTTTTGGCATCATTTATTTCCCCCTCTTTAACTCAGCGGGACGCGGGTGGCGCTGTGGGTTAAACCACAGAGCCTAGGGCTTGCCGATCAGAAGGTCGGCGATTCGAATCCCCGCGATGGGGTGAGTTCCCGTTGCTCGGTCCCTGCTCCTGCCAACCTAGCAGTTTGAAGGCCCATCAAAGTGCAAGTAGATAAATAGGTATCTCCGGCAGGAAGATAAACGGCGTTTCTGTGTGCTGCTCTGGTTTGCCAGAAGCGGCTTTGTCATGCTGGCCACATGACCCGGAAGCTGTTCGCCGACTCCCTCGGCCAGTAAAGCGAGATGCGCGCCGCAACCCCAGAGTCGGTCACGACTGGACCTAATGGTCAGGGGTCCCATTACCTTTACCTTTTAACTCAGCAAGTCACTACCCACATAAAGGTAATGTTTTGACTCCAGCACTAATATCCATAGCAATAAATGCTTTTCTTTTTTCCCCTAGATCTACTACACTGGCTGCTCCATGAACCCTGCTAGATCTTTTGGTCCTGCTGTGATTGTGGGTGAATTTGACAACCACTGGGTAAGACTCCTAATGGATTGTGCCCAGTAGTGGGGGTGGACTTCAGAACCTCAGAGCTATCCTCCTTATACCAGCATCACTACTGTTTACCTGGATGGGGCTGAGCTGGGGCAGCAACCAGCAAGGTCAGGGCCACATGAGTGCACCAGTGAGAGGGCCAGGTGGGTAGAGGGGGTCCTGCCACTGTACCCTCATGGCCCCAACCTCCCCACATCTCTGCCCATCCCCACTAAGATAAGTATAATGCTGGTGTTAGAACGGCAGTTCTGTTGCTCTGCCCCAGCACACATTTCACTGCTGCCTATAGCATACCTATGGCTGACAGAGTTGAGTGTGAGGAGAAGGTGGAGGGAATGATGGGGGTTCTTATACCTGGAGCCTTGTATTCATGCATGTTCATAGCAGGCAAGATGCATCCCCTCCTGTTCTGAGAGATACGGCTTTTGGGAAACGTAGAGAAACAGGCTGTACGAGAGCCGGAAAACAGCAAGCCTAGCAACTCGAAACAACATTTTGGGAATCCCCCAAAATGCAAAACAGCAACAAAACAGGGTCAGTGTTTTCACAGGGACACGTAACAGTAATTGGAACCATCCCTGGTTAAATACAGACCATTGAAGCATATGCAAGACCAACCCAAGGCTTGGGCCAGATGAGATGCTTATGGCCATGTGGATTTCCCTACTTTTCAGGGATCAGAAAGCCTGTTGGCAAAGGAAGACTATTATGTGGATACAAGAGCTGCCAATTGAAAGAAAGATGTAGTGATTGGCAACAAGAACCATAGGCAAGTTTTTCTTTGGTGATCACTTGTAGCCAAGTAAGATTGTCTTCCATTGGTTGAACTGGTTTGAAGCCAGAAAAGGCTTAAGTGGCTTGTTCTTTGTGACTCGGCAGTAGATTAAAAACCCCATTCTGGTTCTAGTTAATACCGGAATGAGTTCTTCAGATTCTGGTTTTAGCCAGCTTTAGGGTAGTTTTTCATTGGATCTTTCTTTCGTCTATTTTTTTAATATGGAGACAACTTAACATTTGTGTTCAATGAGGTGAAAGAATGAAGGAAGTAAAAGCTATTAGCAAGTTTGGCAGATATCCATTGATTCTTTAACTTCCCACATATTGGGCCAAACCAAAAACACATGTGACAAGGCATTATTATTATTATTATTATTATTATTATTATTATTATTATATTATTGAAGTTATGAAGCGTCCCTGAGCTGCCCTGTTGTAACAAAGAGGGCTGCCATTCACCGAGCTACTTGGATTCTTGAGATCCGGGCAGGGAGGAGGGCCCAGAGATAAAATGAGGCAGTAATTATAGCTCAGTAACAACAGCTATAACTGCTTAGCATCAAATGCTAAGCAGGTTCAACAGTGGCAAATAGCTGGATATGGAACAATAGAGGGCCATTGCCTTTGATCTGTTATAGGCAAGACTTTCTTGCTTTCTTAGGGGAAGAACTGTAACTCGGAGACAGAGCACAACTTTTGCATGCAGAAAGTACCAGGTTGAATCACCAAGCAGAAGAGAGCACATGAGCTCAACAGAAGTTGGGGGTGGAAAGAGTTGGTAAATGCAGATGGGGTTGGGAAGAGGAAGTGGTCCAGAACAGCAAGGAGAAAGCCAGAGGGAGGAATCTGAAAGGAGCAGGACAACTGGGAGAGTAAAGGAGTGGAGGGGGAAGCTGCATGTGATCAGGAGCTGCAGATGTGAGGAACTGCACGTGAAACTGGAATGGCCAACTAAATATTTGGCCAATAGCTATTTGGTAATCTTGAGTTTTCCAACTGCGCCAACACACCCATAACTCTTTCCCCCTAATTACATTACATTAATTGCAATATATTGAAAAAAAATCTCTACTGCCCTATTGTGGGAAACCTTGAACTAGAATTTTGAGGTCTAATGGGGGAAGAGCTATCTTCTATACTACACTTAATCTTAGCCAAAAGGCTGAGAAGTGATGCTACCTTCTATAAATTGTTTGGTACCAGAATTTATACAAGAATGTTCATCCTGGTCAACCATCAACCTTGTATCTCTCTCATTCTCTCCTTTCCTCCCTCAGGTCTTCTGGCTGGGTCCAATGGCTGGAGCGGTGGTGGCTTCCTTGCTCTACCACTACGCTCTCTTCCCCCATGCAAAGACCCTCTCGGAGCGGCTAGCAATCTTCAAAGGCTACGAGCCGGAAGAAGACTGGGAGGAGCGTGATGTTCGCAGGAGGCAATCGATGGAGCTCCACTCCCCACAGACCCTGCCTCGAAGTGTGATGGAGAAAGTCTAGGCCAACCCGATGAAAAATGAAAGCAGCAGGCTATAGCTAGCTACATCCACTGGTGTTTTCTTCTGGCTCAAATGTGCATTCATCTTCATGTTGTCAATGCACAATGAATATCTCCCCTGGGAGCAGTATGGTCATCTGTGATCGGCCACCCGTGGAGCTTAAATCTTTAGCTCAGGCTGTAAGAGAAGTGCCCATTGCTCTGAAAGATTCTCCCGAGATTTAAGATCCACTTCTTGATCAGTGGAAACCATCACATGCCACCATCTTGCGCATCCTGACAAATTAATGAAAGAACGTTGTTTTTTCTTCTTCCTTGAGTCTAGTTATCTAAACTTCATGTGGATCTCTAGAATTTGGGTCAAAGAGTCATTGACCATGATGGTCCAGCTATATAAAATGGTCTCTGGGCATTTCCCTTGAAGAAATAGCAGCCACAACTTTTAGAGTTCTCACGTTGGCATTCAGAGTGATGAACTGGTAAAAAGCAAGAGCTTTTTGCATTATTGATCCTAAGCATGATTACCCAAGTGCAAGTCATGATCTATTCAATGGGACTTACTTCCAAGAGATCATGATTACAATAAGCCCTGTTAGACAAATTGGGACTTTCTTCTGAATAAGCGTGCTTAGAATTGCACCACTAATCTTGCAGACGTCAGCCAAATCCTTTAGCTTCCCTGCAAAGTTCTTACTCTGCACAGAGCAAGTCGTTCTTTTGTGAGGGTTTGACCACTTATTAAAATGCATGTGAGTGTATTAAACTAAAGCAGAATGACTGTCCAGAAAATAATTAGGATAAGCCCATGCCTATTGATCAAAGCCACACACAGTGTTCTCAATATGTGTTCGTAGCCAACCCTGATTTTACCCTTCTTGTATCACAGAGTTAACTTTTTCCACTTTGCTTTCTTACCCCTCTTACCTCTACTTCCACTGGCACACTCAAATTGTGGGATGGCACACTTGGCAAAGACCAAAGAGAAGAACCAGCCCCAACTACATTACACACCATCCTCTGCCCACCTCCATTTTTCTGTGCATGCATATTAGCCGTTGAGAAAGTTTTATACTCTTATACATGTCCTTTATCATCACTAATGACTGTGACTTTTGCATAGCCAAACAGATCAACCTATTGCTTTCAGCATTTTTCTGAATGTTGGGGAGGTGTGCGTGTTTAGACTGCGTGGTGTGTATGTTGCCTTTAAAATGCTTTGATGAACGTTACTTACTTGTGCTGTTAAGCAAATGTGATCCTCTTCCTCATCGTTTTGGGGTACCTTTTCATACCATGATCTGGTTTTTGTACTTTAACTACATCTTCTTGTGTTTGGCACAGCACACCCTAGATTCTGCTGGGTCATACACTTGTGCGCAACCTTACTTGACAACCTAATGTAAACTTTGCCTTAACGGGGCAAAGATGTTGGATGGATCAGTACCTGTCAAATAAAACAGAAGCTAAAAAGCATCAACTTGAAGAGATTTACTTCCCGTATTGCCACACTAGTTCCTTTTGCTTGTTCACTTATTTTCCCCAACCCCAGATACTGCTTTTCATTTTTAAAAAAATGCATTTTGTAGAAAGCAGCAGTGCCATGATATAAGAAAATACAAGAGTACAGCCTGATTGATCAAGAGATTGTGCTGTAATCAGTGCAGGGGTGTAGGAAGGGGGGGCGGTGGGAGCAGTCTGCCCCGGGTGCCCTCACTGAGGGGTTGACATTCAGCGCGCCACCCGCCTGCAACTCCCAAGCCTACCCTGAGCCATTGAGGTAAGGGGGGGAGCTGTGTCGCTTTGCCAATGGCATTCCCCCCTTCCCACTTCGTTTTGACAGCTTTGGGGAGGCTTGGGAGTCGTGGGTGGGTGACGCACCGAATGTCCACCATGGGCGGCTCGCTCCGCCCCCGGCTGCAGGGCACACGCGCCACTCCAGGCACCCGAGCAGCTATGCCATGCCTAAGAGGGCACCCTCTGTGCCATGCCCCCCTCAGGAGTGCGCCCACCCTGGGCAGCACAGGCATATGCTGCGCCGCTGAATCGGTGTGCTCTGTGACAATTTCCAAAGACAGCTGAATAGTGCAGAGATGCCATTCTGCTTCTATATTCCAGGAATTATTCCTTTTATTTTTATACAAGCCAAGTAGAATCTATACAACCTCTCAGTGCAGGGAAATGCAACTGAGTCACTAAACAAAGCAGTGTGGAAGAAAAACTTTTCCAGTTCCTGCAAGCAGAAAAGGCATCACATGGAAAATCCAATTTGGATTTAAGAACACAGTGCAGTGATTTCCCTTAGTGGACCAAAGCAGCCTGAGCGAAACCGTAGCTCCAGTACAAACAGAAGCTCTTTGTGACCTTGGCACGCTGATACGATGGGACGATAACATACCTCTGTTCCCTGCTTTGTTCTGTGACCTTGGATAAACCACTGGTGGCCAGGTGCTTATGAGCCATTGTACCCACACACTCGAGGGTTAGGGCGTGGAAGCAGTGATAGTGTGGCATTGTAACGGCATTGCAAGCTGAGCCAGTCCTTATTTATGATGCGATCGCGTTGGTAGTAATGGCTGCTACCGACAGGTATCATGCAATGGCATGAAGCCAAGACTCGTGCAGCCCAGGATTGTAAAGATAAGGAAGCAGTGTGACAAGGAAGGAAGCAGAAGACAGGGTGGTGCATCTACAGCTGTGATCACACAGACACAATTTTCAGTAGAAATGGCCAAACTGGATAAGGCATTGTCATTTTTTAATCATTTTTATCATTTAAAAAATTCCCATAGTACTCTTTCATCCGAGGATCACAGGGTGGTTTACAATATAAAAACACAAAAATATATAACATAGTTGATATTGCAGGGGGCTGGCCCAGAGGACCCTCGGGCTCCCTTACAACTCTATGATTCTATGAGTAACAAATGAAACAATAACTCTCACTTACTTACTTTCTCTCTCTCTCTCTCTCTCTCTCTCACACACACACACACACACACACACACACACAGTTTTAAAGGCCATAGATAGTTTAATTAGTCATGTACTCTGCCAGTGCATACCTGATTTTTGTGAAACAGGGGCTGGATCATGTCATGAGAGAGGCGTTCTTAATCCTTTGCCCACCATGCTAGTCCCAATGGCAGTCCCACCTCCACATGGTTTCTATTTTCATTCTCTTCTGGAGAGCCAGCATGGTGTAGTGGTTAAGAGCGGTAGACTCATAATCTGGTGAACTGGGTTCGCTTCCCCGCTCCTCCACATGCAGCTGCTGGTTGACCTTGGGCTAGTCACAGTTCTCTGAAGTCTCTCAGCCTCACTCACCTCACAGAGTGTTTGTTGTGGGGGAGGAAGGGAAAGGAGAATGTTAGCCGCTTTGAGACTCCTTAAAGGTAAAGGGACCACTGACCATTAGGTCCAGTCGTGGCCGACTCTGGGGCTGTGGCGCTCATCTCGCTTTATTGGCCGAGGGAGCCGGCGTACAGCTTCTGGGTCATGTGGCCAGCATGACTAAGCCACTTCTGGCGAACCATAGCAGCGCACGGAAATGCCGTTTACCTTCCCGCCGGAGCGGTTCCTAATTATCTACTTGCACTTTGACGTGCTTTTGAACTGCTAGATTGGCAGGAGCAGGGACCGAGCAACGGGAGCTCACTCCATCGTGGGGATTCGAACCGCCGACCTTCTGATCGGCAAGTCCTAGGCCCTGTGGTTTAACCCACAGCGCCACCCACGTCCCTTTGAGACTCCTTAAGGTAGTGATAAAGCGGGATATCAAATCCAAACTCTTCTTCTTCTGTGTTATAATAGTACACTATTTTTTCCCTCTGTAATGCTATGGTGCATATTCAATTTGACACAGTACAGGACTATGTCTATGAATACCAGTCACTGGGGAGCAACTACAGGAGAGAGCTATTGTGCTTATGCTCTAACTGTGGGCTTTGCATAGGCCTCTGGTTGGCCACCAGACATGTCAGGCCTTGGTCTGATCCAGCAGAGCTCTTCTCTTGTTATGTATGTAGATCACTGTGTATATTCTGGTCATTGGCCAAGGGGCTGGGCTTTTTTCCTACAGCACATGGCAAGTAGCAAGTTGTCTTGTGGTACCCAGGTCATCCGAGCTATGACTAGCAGCTACCAACTTTTTACAGTCCTGGAAAAGACAAGCCGGATTATCGTCTATTTGTGAAGCATTTTACCATGCACACATTTGCATCCCTAGATTAGGCATCTGTCAGTAACTCTAAGTGGGAATTATATTTACACTCTTTAAGATCCACTGGTGCGTGACTATTCTTCAATGACTACTGGTGGAATTAATGAGATGTTTGCTGGATGAGTCAAAATATTTTTTTCTCATGTTCATATCTGAGCCAGGAGGGAGAGAGAGAGGAAGGAAGGGAGTGTCACGCTCCCCATTGGCCATTGCAAGCCAAAGAGACCAGAGTATCAGGAAGGGGCTACAATAGGACCAGAAAGACTATGGTAGATAGAATCGTTACTGCATTCTACCTAGGGTAGGGGTTAGCCAGTGTGGTGACCTACAGATGTTTTGTCTCATCATCCCCAGCCAGCCTGGCCTGTAAGTCAAGGATGGTGCGAATGGTGGTCCAAGAGTCCAAAGGTCACCATACTGGCTATCCGCCTAGGGTGAAGTAATTTGAAGGTTCTTACTTGGTAGACAGATCCAAAGAATGTCAAGAGAAGCAAAAAAAGAGAGGAGTTTTTAGAAGACTAGCAATATGTGTCAAGGGTTTCTAGGAAACATTTAATGTAGATCAGCAGTCAAGCTGTTCTGTAGGGATGACTCAATCTGTCAATTTCAGTTTCTCTAAGTCTTCCGATCTTAAGTTCCCCTCATTTCTGCATTCATCTGATTTTTATTTATTTTTAAAAGGCCAAATGCAATCTCATACATACTCGTCACATTTATCCTGATACATATTTTGCATGCAATTTTCCCTAACGTACACATTTTTGCAAGCAATTCTCTATAATA